ATATATATATATATATAAGAACATTAATTAATTTGTGTTAAACTTTTGTGTCTACGTTGGGGCACTACCGACGTACGCACCTCTAGACTTGTCTTCGTGGTGAAAATAGACATCAAAGTAAATAAAAAATTACGATTTTTGTAAATAATTCTTTTTTATATTTTTAACTTAATAATGCTAAACTTTTCGGAAAATGTATGAATCAGTAAATTTTTTTTTATAGATGCTTGATGTCTTTAACTATTATTTGACATATATTTTTTTATAAATCTAACCCTTTAATTGTTCACATGGGGGGATTTAAAATGACAACTTTTTCATAAAAAATTAACTTTTTCAACTTGATTTTTGAAAGTGTTCCGGAAAGTATGACACTTTTATATATATATCTAAAATTAAAGATAATGTAATGTATTTTATTATGAAAAAAAACCCAGCACAGGGGGGTCGCGGCACAGTGATCCCATGTATAGTTGGATCAAGTATAATGATATCTGACAGTGATTAAAATCACTATCAAAAATAAACGTTTCGATGCAAATCTTTAGATAGTGTTTAATTTTAAAAAAATTGGTGTTTTATTCCAAAAGCTACTTGATTTNTATTTATTATTTAAATTGTTTATGAGAAATAATATTTTTTAATAATACCTCTTTCATTCGACATACTTCATCTTAATCAGGATATTAATAAGGAACTAGCAGATCATGTAGCTTTTGGAATAATCCACCAATTTTTTAAAATTAAACACTATCTAAAGATTTGTATTGAAGCGTTTTTTTTTTTTATAGTAATTTTAATCACTGTCAGATATCATTATAGTTGATCCAACTATACTACGTCACCACTGTGCCGCGACCCCCCTGTGCTGTTTTTTTTTAAATGCATTTCATGCCCTATTTAATATAAAGAATTCTCTATAAATGTAGAACAAATCCATTAATTATACAGAGTGTTCAAAAAGCAATTATATCTAACTTTACTCCCACGCTCAATTGTATAAGTGGAAAGCGTGTAACTTATGCATTATCGTATATCGTCATTTAATTATTATTATGTAAAGTAAATTAGTGTATTTAAATGTTGAATAAATTCTAATTGATTCAGTTAAGTGATTTGTACTGATCTAGTAACAAATAGACAGCATAAATATCTAACTACAAGACTAATCGAACTTCTACCACAAAATAATCATACATAAATATATATACAGGAAAGATCGTACGGCTACTAACTTCTGTCTAAAACCAATGACGAGACAAGTAGCATGTCTAAAATCTTATGCTTAAACTATGAGCTCTTATTAAAAATTTAATAAAACAGTATATACTTAAAATAAAAAGTCATGAAAATTAAAAATTTAATAACATATGTAATAGTATTAACAAATATTTCTACTTTCTGTTTTATTTTTATTTATGATAATGTATTCATTTCTTACACGATAAGGGAATACTTTTGACACGGCCATGCTGTGTAATTGGAAATATTGTATATCATAAAATTGCTTATAATCAATTATTAAGTATTCAAAGAATGATTTATTAAACGTAACGTGTACATCTGTTACTCGAGCTTCATGCCTTATAGGATTCAGCAATGGTAACTTCTAAAACACAAAGCATCTGTCGTTATTTATCACTATTATTTGGCTATATTACAGATGAAATAATGAGTTATTAAATCTTACCGCTGCTGTAGTATAAAAAATAAATTCAACAACTACACAAAAAAAAATGTTCATAATTTTCATAACTGTATTTGTTCGATTAAAATTATATTTGGATTATGAAATCCAATCTTATAAAAGACTTTAGACTTTTATTATTAATATTATTTAAACTTTTTTATTTAAAAATAAAGCACACACAAATCAGGATATCTAAACATTTTTTACTAAAAATTCTACTTTTTATCAGAAAAAAATTAAGTCTAATTACTTTTTGTTTACATAGTAAACTAGACTTTATCTGGACGGATAATTTATTTACCAAGTCCATATATTTGATATTGAACTAATTTTTTTTGTCCTTTTTTTATGATTTCATAACATGTTTAAATAATGAATGCACTAGGTTTATTTATACATATATTGTACTATGTATTACATCCGGTCGAATGGTTATTATGACTTCAGCCGCTGTGTATAATACATTTTTTACGGTTGATTAAAAATACATATACACATAAAATTTTTTTTTTTTAAAAATATCCGGCTAAATTAAATCACTACTAATTAATTGTGAAAAATAATGAACGTTTTAAGAATCAAGGACGGAATTAAATTATTCAACATTGCATTGACAACTATCGGATAAAATTATATTATGTATGTATAAATATAATAATATTTATCAATATTATTATTATTTAGTATAATTTATATTTTGCATTGTTTTATTAATTTTATTTAAAGGCCGTAATAGAGTAACTGATTCAATTACTAAACACCCCCTAATAAGTGAACATCACTAGTACTACTTGAAATATTAACTCTTAAGCATTAAAGTTGAGTAATTTAGTTGATTTGTATTGCATGACTTAAACGATAAAATTTTAAATACTAACATTGTAATTTTAATATATTATAAGCAATCAAAATTCCGTACAGTCCTTATAAGTAAACGGAATTTGTCTACAAAGGCAAAAGGAAGAGTATGCCCGAGAAATATAATATGTAATTCAATTTTATGCTCTTACCCCAGTTTACTCTAATTTCGAAAAATTCAATATTTTTGTCATAATTTGTTGTATTGAACATTTTTAATCATTTATAATCCATAATAGGTATCTTAGGAAATTTAATATTATTCGAAATTTGTGAAATATAGTTAATCAGTTTTTTTTAAGTTTATAGAATGTACTTTTTTTAGTTTTGTGAAAATTTATCATTGTAAAATGTTGAAAGGGTAGATTTTGTTTAAAAATCTACAATAATTAATTATTTTGTTAGATTGAAAAAGTCATTAATATTGATAGTACATATAAATAAGTTAAGATAGGTATGTTTTTGCACTAAGTATTTTCTGACTTCAATTAATTTAACTTCATTTTTTCAATGAATAGTCGTTCATTTGATATGTTGTGAAAAACGAAGCATTTCCTTCACGATAGAAGTTCAAAAATTTTATATCTATTGGTTTTAGATTATATTTAATAATGTTGAAATGTTGTATAAGGAACTGTACATTATGTTTCATTTGTGTTGTAGAAACGTTATCTTCATAAGTAGCCATTATGGAATTGTTGTTCATGTTATCATATATGTTATTAACACTCAACGATATTAGGCTGTTGTAAATTATTTGAAATAAACTAGCAACAGCGAAGTACAGTTGATCTGTATTGATATCATTTTCAATGTTGAGTAATTTAACGAGATCCCAAAAAGTGTCATCCTTTGCTTCCAAATAGTTTACAAAATCAACAAACACGCTATAAAATTTAATTGACGTGCTTTTGACATTTTTTTTAATCGTGTCAATTACAAGTTGTTCTGTCTTTGACGAATTATCGAGAAACCTACTTAACTCGTGATTGATATATAAATGCATCCAAGTGAAGCTAAGTAATCTCACCTTTAAAATATCTATAACCATCATATGATATTCGTTACAAGAAAAAGGCGAGTTAATCCATTCTCGGCGATTGAAATGCTCTACACATTTTTCTTTCAGCCTCATCAGTCTTTTTTTTGTTGCACTCCATTCTATAGGAAAGTCTCTTATGGGTTCAAACAAAACATCTTCTAGATTATTTTCGAGCAGAAGCATTCTTTCAACTGTTATGAAAAACTCAAAATAGTTTGAATCCCATGTTAGGCTGAGACTATTGAAAAAAGGATCAATTATTTCATTGGTAAGGACTGATAAATCTCTTGTAGCCTTGCTATGTAAAAGACTTTCATACAAGTCGATAGACAAATACATATTACTCTCGCAAGTTGATAAGAAGTTGAGCAACTCTATGTTTAAGAGATAATCGGAAAACAAACGGTTATCTATTATATCTTTATTTTTTGTCCAATCGCTTACTGCAATGAGCTTTGAATAAAAAATCCATATCCAAGAATGAGGTGTTATACCAGCCGAAAAAAGTTTTGAAAATATAGTAGCAGTACGGTCGTGATATTGATGATATATGTATTTTATATAGTCGATACTGTCATCGTCTCGTAACTTTGTAACAAGTTTCTTTAAATGCATCAATAAGTAATGCACTATTAAACCAAAAGTGCATTGAATGCTTTGCATTTTTTTCTTATATTTAAGCAACGCAAATTCTTTTTCGTTAGCCTTAGCATTGTATGGACTAAATTTCCTCGTTAATAATTCGATTTCACATTCGGTTAGTCTATCCTTATTTTTATCCATTGTTTTAAATATATGTAAATCATTTAAGAGTTTTTTGTTGTAAACAATATTACAGTTCACATTTTCACGTTTTTTCTAGAAAAAATTTAGTAAATATATGATTAAAATTTTGTTATAACTAATCAATTATGTAAATTATACATAGCACTTCTAGAACATAACTGTTGCATTTTAAAATAGCCAATACAGTGATACCCATCATAGTGCGGATCTGTTAAATAGAGATTTACTCCACTCTACTAAAAAAGAGGGACTTTCTATTTATTAAAATCTGATGTATACACATTGAAAATATGTTGTGGAGTACAATTTTTTTTTGTCTTGTAATATATTACATATGGTTTAATGAAATGTATGCTAAAAAGACGCCAAGTTACCAAAATATTTTCAAAAGTTAAGTTGAAAAAGTTCTATTTAAAATGTGAAAATTACAATATTGTACTCCTTAAAAGCAGATAAATATTCATATTTTCAAAAAACAATATGTCAAATAGGGGTAACATATCCAAGATATCCAAAAGTTATGCCATGGTCATAAAAGTAGATGATTTTAGTAAACCTTGTTTTTTGGTGGGGGATTTGCGAGGGTCGACTGATATTGACTGATTCAACTAGATATGATTTATGATTTTTTAACGTATTTTTAAACGAAATCAATCTAATAGATGCTAATTAGCACCTACTTATTTCACTTATGTCTAAACAAACTCATAAAACACATCAAGGTGGAATTAATACCTTCTCAGTTATATATCAAAAAATAAATGTAAAAAAATATAAGACAGATATTTAGGTGAATGTTTTCCACCGATTTTTTTATTTAAAATAAATTCATTTTTAGTTGCAACAATTTTTATCTATATCTGCTATATTAGTTATAATTATTATAATTGTTTTAAAAATTTCCTTATATTAATAATAAAAATTGCAAACCTACTTTTGCTGGTTTTGATAAAATCAATGGATTATCTTCTGTTGATGCCAATTTTTGAATAGTTAATACCACTGATATCATAATATGAAATAAACACAAAATATTAATGGAAAAAATCATTTTTAAAAATTATTGTGTGATTTAATAATCAATATTCTTTTTTGAATTTATTTAGTTTCAGAAACATATCAATAATTATGTCATAAAGTACTACGTTATTTATTATAATTAAATTTAATAAATGGATTTGTATATTATTTTAAATGTCATTTAACTCTTAAAATATATTTTTTCTTTAATAAAAAAAATATATATACCATATTCACTTTATATTACCGACATAAATTATTAACACTTGCGTATATCAATATACGTTATTGTTTATTATTACTTATCATATTGCAATTAGTTAGCATTAAGTACATTATAATTTTCGCAAATCAACTCGAAAAAAAATATTTGTAGAATAATATTTTAATAGGTTAAAATTACAACCATATTACATATATATATATATATATATATACGTTTTTATTTTTCAGGTATACGCATATAAAATAAATGATGACGACATTTTTAGTACAATTAATTTCTGAAATTTTAATTTTCATAGACAACATAAATAAATACTTTTAATATTAAAAAATTTATGCATTTATTGAACGTTTTCTTTAGCTTTTATAATAAAATTATATTTTTAAATACATTTGATATTTAAAATAAAAAACGGTAGCACAGTGGGGTCGCGGCACAGTGTGAGCGTGGCACAGTTGGGAGCAGTATAGATGATATCTGACAGTGATTAAAATCACTGTTATAAGAAACGCTTCGATGCAATTCTGTAGATAGTGTTTAATTTTAAGAAATTTTATTCAAAAGCAAAATTATAACTCAAAAAGAATTGTTTGAAGCACGGAGTATTTCCGAACCATTCTCAAATCGTATGTTGAAAAAGTTGAAAGGAAAATACTTAAGGTTTCAATATAAAAAATAATTATTTTGATTTGCTCATTATTCAATAAATTATGGAAATTATTAGAAAAAAATTGAAAAAATGTCGAAAATTAGCGATTTTTAAATTTGTAATTTTTTAGGGAGTTTTCATCATTTACAGGGGATAGGGGAAAATTTTTCAATTTTTGAGGGTAATATCATCTTTAACTAGATACAATTTGTGATCTTTTGATGTATCGTTGAAAAAAATTGGTCCAGTGAGAGCTGAGAAAAATTAGTGACAGACACAAAAAAATTTTTAAAAATTAACACATCATGGTAAAATTAATATCTTCTCAACTTTGCATCGAAGCTAAAAAATCGAAATATACCAATTTTATTTTTATATTAAAAATAAGCTTCATTAATTTAAAAACAAAATTTTTAGATTTAATTAAAATATTGAGATGGCAGTGTGGCTGTGTCTCTATTGCAGCAATACCTGATGCGCATCTAGGATCGACAATGCACAGGCTGCTTTATTTGATTAGTGAGAATTTAGTTCAGTATTTTGAACCACCACATAATGATCTGAAATCAAAATTAGATTGTCTAAACCTAAATATTCAAAAGTTATTATTTGTCATTTTTTAGGTGATTATTTTAATATATATAGCTACTAAAACTAAATGTAGAGATTAAAGTTGATTTTATTATTATGGAGTGTGGAATAATTGAAACAAATTTGTATATTTTTTCGAGTTATTTTTAGTGTAATTTATAAACAAAACCAAAGCAATAATATTTTCAGATGTTCAGTAAGTAAGAAAACAGATGAATTGTTACAAATAATGAGAACAATAGAAACCCGTTTCCTTACTTACTGAATACCTTAAATGTCCAAAATAAATTTATTGCAATATCTTACAAATCTATTATTTGTTACATTATTTTTGTAGCTACCTCAGCTTACAGCTTAAAAATAATTAACATATCAATAAAAAAAAAATTTTCAATTAATGAAATAATGTTTTGTTTAATTACCGGTCTTAAGAACTATTATAATTTGAAGATTAGCAATAAATTTAAAATCAGCAATCTTAAAAGATAAAATATTTTAATTATTATTTCTTATATAGTATATGAAAATACAATACATTTTTACATACTACATAAAATAATTTAATTTTTGAAATTTTGCCCCCTTAAATTTAGGTAAATTTTAAATCAAATATCAGTTACCTTAAATACATACAGTGTGATCGATTTATTATAAATCACTCTAGTACTCTCTAAGTACAATATTGAAAAAACTTGATTTTTTTTTAATTACATACATTTCTTGAATTATTAGCGAATAATTACTTTTTATAATTATCCCTCATAACTTATAGAGAGTCAATTTCAATTTCTCAAATGGCAACGTACATAATTTACAACCTACTTAATAGATAATGATGAATTTAAGAAAATAACAAGTCTATAGCAACTTTTGAACCAGTATTTTGAAAGTTGAAGTAATTACTGTAGGTTTAAAGTGGATGCAGCTATTTTTATCACTAGTTATTTCCTAATTATACTATATCTCCCTCCTAAGTATAAAAATGAGAATAACATCCGAAGTATCGGTTCAAAAGTGTTTATAGACCAGACATTTTCTTAATTACATAATTTTCTATTAAATAGGATAGTAAATTATGTACTGTAGTAATTATATGAGGAAGTATTGAATTACGTCGATTTTAGTATAATATAAGCCATACAATAGTAGTAAGCAATTTTTGAACTCTTAAGCAATAAAATAATTCCATATAAAAGGGAAATGCAGGGTAAGCAAATTAATAATGGTGGGAAAAAGAATATAAAAGGGAAACATGAAGAGTATAGGGGGTCGACACGGAACGATACGGAGCGAGACGAGACTGGACGTTTTTGTAGAAGAAACGTCGAGTTACGGGTTAGGTCGTTAACGTAAGAATAATTTTATACCTTTTTTTTTATAAGATTTAATTAATTTTGTGTTAAATTATTATATTATATTTTATTTGACTTTTGTGTTTAATACATTTCGTAAATAAAAAAAACTATTTAAAAATCTGGATTTAGCGCAAATATTTAATATTCACGGTGATCTCGAAATTGTGTGTGTGTGTGTGTGTGTGTGCGGCTAGAGTCTAGGTTGGACTGCTGGTCCTTTAGTCAATCTTAATAATTAGTGTACGAGCTGGCTAGTGTTTGGGCTTAACCGTCCTTTAGTGGGTATAGTAAAAAGGTAGTTGTGCTGGTGGCTGACAAGGAGCCACCCTTCAGTCTGCTACTTTTGAGCTAGACTGTGCTGACGGGTCTAAACTCTACCCCTTTAGTAGTCCACTAATTAGAGAGATTGGGGCTGATTAGTTTATCCAACGGGAGGACTCGAGAAGAGCTCGGACGACGAACTCGTCGTCTATATATATATATACATAAAACTTTAATAAACCTTTGTGTCTACGTTGGGGCACTACCGACGTACGACANTAAAACTTTAATAAACCTTTGTGTCTACGTTGGGGCACTGCCGACGTACGACAGTACATTATCATTTGAGAAATTAAAGTTGATTCTAAAAAATAATTGTCATCTGATAATGAAGAAATATATATAACTAATAAAGCATAATTTTTTTCAATATTTTATTTATTTTGACAGTACATAATAATTGTAAATAATAATAAATTACATAAAATGGTTCATAATAATTCAATCACTCTATATTTCTATATGCCACATAAAAAATTTTATATTAAAAAAAAATGGACTCGCCTATGGGTTTATATGAAAATATAATACATTTTTACATCCACAAAAATATTTTTATTTGAAAATTTTGCACAATTTGTACCCTTAAATTTAGATTAATTTAAAATCAATAACATTTAAAACATTGGTAAATGAAATTTTCAATATTTTTCTTGATTTAAATCGGGTAATATAAGTTAAGCTAATATATTAGCTTATATATAAGCTGTGTGATAAAACCTAATTTTAATCTATTCACCGACGTATACCAGCGTAACCAGCGGTCCTGGAATATCCATAGTTAAGAAATGTCTACTCAGCCGTGGGAGATCTCAATGAACCGTAAAAGTACAAAATTAAATAGAAGATCTAACAAAAAATTGTTTAATTTTTCTCATAATAAGATGGCTCTTGTATAGAATTTTCTATTGACAAAAAATTATGAGGATGTTAAAATATAATATAATTATAATTATTTTATAAATAAAATACATAAGAATCTTCTTCTTCCTCCTCGCCTTAATCCCAACTACTTAGGGTCGGCCATAACAAAATACATAAGAATATATTGCTTAAATTATAATTTGATGTTCTTGCAGGAGAATATTTATTTTTAATAGATCGTTTTTCAAATTTTTGAAATAAATTTTTTTGTTATTATAAGAAAAAATGATCAACTACTCAATATTTTTGATAATAAAATTGAAAATGATGTACAAATGCATGAAATGTCTATATTATTTATTTATACACACAAATTTTAGCTTCGATACGATATGCGATTTGAGTTATTAATTTTACTATGATGTATTTTTTTAGTCTCTCATCATTTTTTTTCTGAGTTCTTAGTGGACCGATTACTTTTAATGATACGTCAAAAGATCACAAATTGTATCTAGTTGAAGACATACCCTTAAAAATTGGAAAAAATTCCCTCATTCCCGGTAAATAGGAAAAATTCTCAAAAATATTACAAATTTAGAAATTGTTAATTATTCACTTTTTTCAACTTTTAGCTTCGATGTTAATTTTACTATGATGTGTTTTTTTTTTTTTATGTCTGTTGCCACTTTTTCTCAGCTCTCACTAGACCGATTTCTATCAAAAATACGTCAAAAGATCACAAATCGTATCTAGTTGAAGACATTACCCTTAAAAATTGAAAAATTTTCCCTCGTTCCCCGCAAATGGGGGAAATATCCAAAAAAATTACAAAATTAAAAATCGGTAAATTTTGTCATTTTTTTCACTTTTTTTTTTTAAATCTTCCATAAATTTTTCAAAAATCAATAAATCAACATAATTTTTTTTTTATACTAAAACCTTAGATATTTTCCTTTCATTTAATATCATTTTTTTGAAAATTTAACACTTAACCTGCTCTTTGGGTGGGATTTAAAATAGCAACTTTTTTACAAAATTTAATTTTTTCAACTTAATTTTTGAAAGTGTTCCAGAAATACTGCGTCCTTTAAACATATATCAAATTAAAGCTTATTTTATGTACTATAAAATGAAAAAA